TGTCAGATATTAATTGGGCATATTTGTATGGGAGAGATCTAGTTTTTCCTGATAAATTTGCATTGATAATATTTTTGTGTAATTACTAGCATTATAGGTGTCTATATCATCTATGCTTAAATACTTTTCCTGGGCCGGGTGCGGTGGCTCACACCTGCAATCCCAGCACTTCGGGGGGGCCAAGGCGGGCATGTCACCTGAGGTCGTGAGTTCAAGACCAGCCTGGCCAACATCGTGAAACCCCATCTCTCCAAAAATACAAAAATTAGTTGGGCATGATTGATGACAGGTGCCTGTAATCCCAGCTACTCGGGAAGCTGAAGCAGGAAAATCACTTGAACCCAGGAAGTGGAGGTTGCAGTGAGGCAAGATTGTGTCACTGCACTCCAGCCTGGGTAACAGAGAAACACTCCATCTCAAAAAAAAAAAAAAAAAACTTTTCCTGATATAAAAAAATTTTTATTAGACTTTTTTCTTTTAGAGCAGTTTTAGGTTCACAGCAAAATTGAGAGGAAGTACAGAGATTTTCCACACACCGTCTACTCCCACACATACATGCCCTCTCCATTACAAACATCCCTACCAGGGCGGCACATTGCTTACAACTAATGAACCTACATTGACACATCATACTCACCCAGAGTCCACAGTCTACATGAGGGTTCACTCTTGACAGTGTAATTTTATGGGTTTGCACAAATATGTAATGACCTGTATCTACCACCATAGTATCATACAGAGCAGGTTCGGTGCTCTAAAAACCTGTACTCCACCTGTTTATTCCCCCTGCCCACAAATCCATGGCAAACATTATTTTTACCATCTTCATAGTTTGACTTTTCAGAATGTTGTATAAAATTGGAAGTGTACAGTCCAGCCTTTCAGATGGACTTCTTTCACTTAATAATATGCATTTAAGTTTCCATGACTTTTCATGGCTAGATAGCTCATTTCCTTTTGAGCACTGAATAATATTCCATTGTCTGGATGTACCACATAGTTCAGTTTAGTTATTCATTTACCTGCGGAAGGACATTTTGGTTGCTTCCAGGTTTTGGCAATTATGAATAAGAAACTTTTTTTTTTTTTTTTTTTGAGACAGAATCTCACTCTGTTGCCCAGGCTGGAGTGCATTGTCACAATCTCAGCTCACTGCAACCTCCGCCTCCCAGGTTCAAGAGATTCTCTTGCCTCAGCCTCTTGAGTAGCTGGGATTATAGGCATCTGCCACTACACCTGGCTAATTTTTGTTCTGTTTTGTTTTTTTGAGAAGAAGTCTTGCTCTGTTGCTCAGGCTGGAGCACAGTGGCATGATCTCTGCTCACTCCAATCTCCACCCCCTGTGTTCAGGCGATTCTCCCACTTCAGCCTCCAGAGTAGCTGGGATTACAGGCACCTATCACCATGCCCAGCTAATTTTTTGTATAATTAGTTTCACCATGTTGGCCAGGCTGGTCTCGAACGCCTGACCTTGTGATCCGCCCATCTCGACCTCCTAAAGTACTGGGATTACAGGTGTGAGCCACTGTACCCAGCCGTTTTGTTTTGTTTTGTTGAGAGAGACAGAGTCTCACTCTGTCGCTCTGGCTGGAGTGCAGTGGTGCAATCTCAGCTCACTGGAACCTCTGCCTTCCAGGTTCAAGCAATTCTGTGCTTGCGCCACCATGCCCAGCTAATTTTTGTATTTTTGGTAGAGATGGGTTTCACAGTGTTGGCCAGGCTGATCTTGAACTCCTGACCTCAGGTGATCCACCCACCTCGGCCTCCCAGTGTGCTGGGATTAGAGGCTTGAGCCAGTGCGCCCAGCCTAATTTTTGTACTTTTAGTAGAAACAGGGTTTCACCATGTTGGCCAGGCTGGTCTTGAACTCCTAACCTCAAGTGATCTGCCTGCCTCAGCCTCCCAAAGTGCTAGGATTACAGGTGTGAGCCACAGTGCCCAGTCAGAGGAGAAATCTATTTTTAATAAAATTTTAGCAATGTAGTGGTAGTGCTGCTTTAATCAGTTACTGATGTCTTTTTGCAGATTATTTTATTGTTAATGACTTTGTTCATAACTGCAATAGTAGAGATAATTTTTTTTTTTTTTTTTTGCCCAGGTTGAGAGCAATGGCACAATCTCAGCTCACTGCAACCTCTGCCTCCCAGGTTCAAGCAATTCTCCTGCCTCAGCCTCCTGAGTAGCTGAGATTACAGGCATGCACCACCACATCCAGCTAATTGTGTATTTTTAGCAGAGATAAGGTTTCTCCATGTTGGTCAGGCTGTTCTTGAGCTCCAGACCTCAGGTGATCTGCTCATCTCGGACTCCCAAAAAAGTGCTGGGATTATAAGCACGAGCCACCATGCCCAGCTAGAGATAATTTCATAGTTAATTTCAAAGGAGATTAGAACATTTTGGTTCATTAACAGATTGAAAGAGAGACCACTGGCCAAATCCAGAGTATTTATAAAGAGCATCTAAAATCTTTGGAGACTGTCAGAACTTCCAATCTCAGATAATCTTATAGAAATCTTTGCTCTTCCTGAAACATTCACCAATTTTTTTTTTTTTTTGAGATGCTCTGTCACCCAGTCTGGAGTGCAGAGGTATGATCTCAGTTCACTGCAACCTCCACCTACTGGGTGCAAGCAATTCTCATGCCTCAGCCTCCAGAGTAACTGGGATTACAGGTGTTCACCATCACACCTGGCTAATTTTTATATTTTTAGTAGAGGTAGGATTTCACCATGTTGGCCTGGCTGGTCTTGAACTCCTGACCTCAAGTGATCCACCTGCCTCAGCCTCCCAAAGTGCTGGGATTACAGACGTGAGCCACCACACCTGACCAGGGAAGAAATCTATTTTTAATAAAATGTTCACAGTGTAGTGGTAGTACTGCTTTAGTTATTTATGTCATTTTACAGATGATTTTATTGTTACTACGTTCATAACCCCAATGGTAGAGATAATTTCATAGTTAATTCAAAGGAGATTAGAACATTTTGGTTCATTAATAGATTGAAAGAGAGGCCACTGGCCAAATCCAGATTATTTACAAAGAGCGCTTAAAATCTTTGGAGACTGTCAGAACTCCCAACCTCAGATAACCTTATAGAAATCTTTGCCCCTCCTGAAATATTCACCAATTTTTTTTAATTTCTTTCTTTTTTTTTTTTCCTTCGAGAGGAGGATCTTGCTCTGTCATCTAGGCTGTAGTGCAGTGGTACAGTCACAGCTGACTGCAACATTGACCTCTTGGGCCCAAGTGATTCTCTACCTCATCCTCCCAAGTAGCTGGGACAAGAGGCACTCGCCACCACACCCAGCTTTATTTTTTGTAGAGATGGGGGTCTCACTTTGTTGCCCCAGCTGGTCTCAAACTCCTGGGCTCAAGTAATCCTCCCACCTCAGCCTCCCAAATTGCTGGGATTACAGGCATAAGCCACTGCACCCAGCCCACTCATTTATTTATATCAGTATGGACCAGTGGATTCATCTTTTATTCAGCAAGTTGTATCTATTACTGTATTCATTTTGATGCTCAGTTTTACCATATTTAAGCTGTCTCCTGTGTCCTTTGGACACATCCCCATCATTCTTTGAGTACCTTCTTATTTTCTGACACAGTAAGATGTGTCAGACTCATCTTTTGCTTTCTATGCTCTGGAATCAGCCATCTTTTCAAGAAGCTCTGGTTGATTTTAATGGAGAATGATGTTTGTTTGTTAGTTTTTCAGAGATGGCGTCTTGCTGTGTTTACTAGGCTGGAATGCAGTGGCTATTCGTAGGTACAATCTTGGTGCACCACAGCCTCAAACTCCTGAGCTCAAGTGATTCTCCCACTGCAGCCTCCCGAATAGCTGAGATTGCTCCTGAGTAGCTTGTGCCACTGTGCCTGGTTAAGAATGATATTTAGAAGCCAAGATCTGGGTTCTAGGTGGGCTTGCTGCTATTGGGATGTCATTGCCTTTATGCCCTCTCAGTGGACAGAGGAAGGAAACGTGTGTGTATATTCTTCCACATACACACATACATAACCATATCTACTGCTGTATTTCTGTATATCTAAAATCATGATTTCATACCAGTACTTCCAACTCCAGAGCATTACCACAGAATTTATTCTAAGTTTCCCTGTTTCTATATGTATAACTCCCTTTTCCAACAGTGAGAGGCTTGGCTTCATTTTCCTCAATATTACTTATTCATACTTCCTGTGTGTAATCAACCTCCTGACAGTGTAGACCACCTCCTTCATCCCAACCCACAGCTACAGACCACGCAAGTGACCTTCTCTGCCCAGTCCTGTTAACCACCCATGTGGAATCCTCAGCCTGACCACACAATCTGTGCCAGCAACACCAGCTGAACCTCCAAGTAGCCACGTCCTCAGGCCCTGCCCCTGCTTACCATCCTTGGCCCCATTTGCGTCTACTGAATCCTAAGCCCTCACCATGAGGAAGGGGCAGAATACCAGCTTAATGGAACTTGAAAAGGCATTACAAGTTTTACAGATAAGAAGAAAATGAAAAAGAAAACATGTAGAAGAAGAAAAGAAAATAATAAAGCCTGTTGCAAGTACAACAAATTTGCAACACCTGCTTTATACCAAGGCCCTAAGATCTATTCCTAACCCTCAGGAAACTTAAACTGCCTGGAAAGAATAATATATATGTACTAGTTAGGAAACAACATTGTAATTAACACTCTTAAGTATATAAACACAGGACCAGGAGAAAAAGAACAATGGATTCTGCCTGAGGAGGTTGGCGGACAAATGGAATGCTGCCAGGGAAGTGTGGCCTGTTCCCAACGAAGGAGGCCTTTAACCAGGTGCAAGGTCGAGGATCCCAGGGCACATGGGGCTAGTGACCAAGATGTGCAAAGTCTAGTGTATGTTTTAAAGTGTATTTAAAATAACATCTTAAATTGTTAGTGTATATATAACTTTTGCTTTTAAATGCCTTTAAAACATTTTTGATATGATACTTAATCTTTATTTTGTCTTCAAATTGTAGCTGAAGAGTCTGCTTCTTCTGGAGCAAAGGGAGATCTGGCTACTGGTGACTGACGTCACCCTGCAAACAAAGGAGGAGAGTGACACCAGGCTCCCCAAAACCCTGCTGGTCTATGTGACCCCCTTGTGTGTGCTGGACTCTGAAGTCCTGGAGGCACTGGCTGGGACCGCCCCTCACAGCATTTTCTTCAAAGATGCTCTCCGAGACCAGGGTATGCTTGCTTCTCCACAGTTTGGGTGCAGGGGCGGCTGATAGGTGCCCATAGAATAGCTCTTGTGGCCTCTGGGTGCCTCCATGTTGCTTGGACACTGCCAGCGTCTTCAGGGAGCCCATCACAGACATGGCCCATGTACCAGCCTTCACTGACCCTGTAGCAGCCACCTGGGCAGAACCAGCTCTGTGGAGATGCTATTGCTCACTCCAGAATTGTCTGCCAGTGGCTCCCTGTACTGCTGCAGAATCCACAAACAAACCAAAAGCTAGAATATTACAAATGCATATATGTAGATCAGCCAATTCCTTTTTCCAGGGATCAAACTAAAATACTGCCTAAGCTGTCTTTTTACATTTTTATTGAGACATAATTCACATTCCACGTAATTTACCCTTTCTGGATTGACTTGAATCTCACATCTGAGTGCCTTCTTAGCTTTGTGCACGGGGTTTGGAGTGTGCCCACACAGTGCATTGTGCTGCTGGACAGTCTCATACCTGCACCTTCCCCTATGTGACTCTAGTGGTAGCAAAGGAGACTGCTGTTATTGGCACAGTTCACTTTTTTCGTCAAGTCTTCAATAACCTGAAGTGTCTGTGTTGGCAGGTCGGATTGTTTGTGCTGAAAGGACTGTGCTCTTGCTTCAGGAGCCCCTTTTGAGTGTGGGCTCTGGCGTAAGCTCCTGTGAGCTGCCTGGCCCGGTGACGCTCGACAGCCTGGACTCTGCCACACCTGTCAACTCCATCTGCAGTGTTCAAGGTAGGCAGCGTCTCACAGGAAATGGTGTTTATACTTTATTAACTACTTTATATGCATTTAGTCATTTATTCAACAAGGATTTGTGGAGCACCCACTAAGTTCCAGACATTGGATACATAAGGAACAAAAGCAGAAGTTGTTCTTGGTATCAGACTCGAATCAGAAGGATGTGAATCAGCTGAGCACAGACAGGCCTAGCCCTCAGGCCCTGAGTGCTCCAGCCGCAGATACCTGGGCCCATGTCTTGTCGGGGAACTCAGGGAAGGCTTCCCAAACACAGGAGTCTCAAGCTGAGATCTGAAGCATAGAGGGACTACTTAGGTCAGGGATAGAGCAGGAGGAACATTCTTGGGAAGAGAGCCGGACTTCAGAAGGCCACTGGCATGAGAGAGCTGGTGAGCAGGGGTGCCGGGAAGAGGCAGGACAGGTAGCCGGATAGAGCTGAGGGCAAGCTCAGGCTGGTGGTGTCAGGAGTGCACTGTGTCACTTGCACAGGGGGCCTGGTCTGATGTCCTCCGTACAGAGCAGAGTGGAGGGGCTGGGTGGCAGTGGGGGCAGCGGTAGAGAAGGAAATCCGGGGTGGACTTAGGGAAATCAGAAGTTTGAGCAATGAATTGGGCATAGATGGAGTCAAAAGACATAGCTGATGACCTCTGAGCTCCTGGCTCAGACGAGGTGACAGTGGTGCTGTTCATTAAGTAGGATGTGGCAAACGAGGTCAGCTTTGAGGGGACCCTCTCAGTTCTATCTGGAGAGTTTGTGTGTTTTGTATACATCTGAGATGTTCAGCAGCTGATGGGATATGTGAGTCTGGAGCTGAAAATAGCATTAATATTTTCTCTTTTTTTACTTTATAAAACTTAGTAATAAAAGTCATACATGTCTAGCAGAACTAGTGAAAAATAAATGAAGATAAAGGTAGCAGCCCACCCTCCGTACCCAGCTTCCTGCTGTATTGGTGCACCCAGGAGACACAGCTATTTGCCTTGAGGGGGCGTGTGTGCTTGCAAGTCAGATGGTTTATTGCACATTATTCTGCCACTCACTTCCCTCACTTGCTTCCCTCTAGCAGAGATGTCTGTGCAGGTAGGGAGAGAGATCTAACTCGAGTTTGTAACATAGCATCCCTTCATATGAATAAACTCTTCCTCCAGTCATGGACATCCAGGATTTCTCATATTTTTGCAATTATTAAACAAGGCTGTAATAAACATTCTTGGATATCAGTCCCTACCGATTTCTGTAAAGGAGGACTTCAGCAGTTTGGCGTTCGTGGACTTTTTAAACAATTTTATTGAGCCATAACTCAGTAATACCCTACAATTCACTCATTTAAAGTATTTTTAGTATTCACAGAATTGTGCAAACATTACTGCAGTCTAATTTTAGAACAAAAACCCGAACCCATTATCAGTCATGCCCTGTTACCAACCACCCTCCCACACGCTGGTCTTAGGAAACCACCACTCTACTGTTTGCATCTATGAATTTGCCTATTCTGAACTTTTTTTTTTTTTTTTTTTTTTTTTTTTTTTTTGTTTTTTTTTTTTTCTTTTTTTTTTTTTTTGAGATGGAGTCTCACTGTGTCACCCAGGCTGGAGTGGAGTCGAGTGGTGTAATCTCTTCTCACTAAAACCCCTGCCTCCTGGGTTCCAGCAATTCTCCTGCCTCAGCCTCCCAAGGAGCTGGGATTATAGGCACATACCACCATGCCCAGCTAATTTTTGTATATTTAGTGGAGACAGGGTTTCATCATATTGGCCAGACTGGTCTTGAACTCCTGACCTCAGGTGATCTGCCCACCTCAGCCTCCCAAAATGCTGGGATTACAGGCGTGAGCCACCGCGCCCAGCCTATTCTGGACATTTCATGTGAACTGGAATAGTATTTTGGTGGGTGCAAAACTAATTGCAGTTTTTGCCATTAAAAGTAAGGGAAAGAGCTGAGATTACTTTTGCACAAACCTAATATACTATGTGGTGTTTCATGATTGGCATCTTGCACTCAGCATAATGTTTTCAAAGTTCATCCACAATGCACTGTGTATTCCTTTTATGGCAGAATAGCATTTCATTGTACAGATATGCCATATTTTATTCTTTCCTCAGTTGATGGACATTTCATTTAGGTTGTTTCTACTTTTTGGCTGCTAAGAATAGAGCTGCTATGAATATTCATGGACAAGATTTTGTTTGAACACCTGTTTTGAAATTTGGGGTATGAATCCAGGACTGGAATTGCCTAATCGTATGGTAACCCTGCATTTAACCTTTTTGAAGAACACCAGTATGTTCCAAAGCGGCTACACTAAGGGTTTGTGCCTCTTCTTTTGTTGTTGTTGTTGTTGTTGTTGTTATTGTTTTTTCTGAGACAGAGTCTCACTCTATCACCCTGGCTGGAATGCAGTACCGTGATCTCAGCTCACTGCAGCCTCCGCCTACCGGGTTCAAGAGAGTCTCCTGCCTCAGCTTCCCAAGTAGCTGTGATTACAGGCGTGCACCACCACACCTGGCTACTTTTTGTATTTTTAATAGAGATCGTGTTTTGCCATGTTGGCCAGGCTGGACTCGAACGCCTGACCTCAGGTAATCCACCCACCTTGGCCTCCCAAAGTGCTGGGATTACAGGTGTGAGCCACCGTAACCAGCCAGTTCGTACATCTTTAATAGTAAAAGATTTTGGTAAATTAGTTAACAGAAAGCATATCAAAATTCAGACTTCCTTGAGTAATGTCTAAGATGGCTGGTTTTCCTCACCCTTCCCTATAACTAGTTCCTGATGTTTTATAATTGTTGATGAACAGAAAACTCCTGTGATTCCACTGTTGCTTTCACCTTCTTTTCACTGTGTTGAGGCCATTTGGATTTTCTCTTCTGTGCATCTCCTTTTGGGGCTAATGCGGACACATAACTGCAGTTATGGGTTGATGGCTCATATGGGGCCTCCATTTTCTCATCTGTAAAATAGGGTTAATGGAATCAGCCTCCAACCACTGTTGAGAATTAAATGAGATAATGTTCAGGAGGCTTCGGGGGCTTTGAAGCTCTGAGGCATCTCAGTACTGGTACCAGGAGTCAGGAAGGGAGGGAGGGATGTCAGAGGGCTGTAGCCAGTGACTGCAGTGGGTGGTTGGCCTTAGGACCATCAGGATTTGTCAAGCAGAGTTGGGTAAGGCCATAAGAGCTGGTAGAAGGGCACATGGAAAACCCACAGACGTGCTGGGAGCAGTTGTAAACCCTTTCAAGTGCTGTGAGAGAGGCAGGAACCAAGAAGAGCAGCAGGGGATCCAGTTGCTTGTGTATCGCTCTGCTTTCCCTGGCCATGTGGAGGAGATGATATGGTTGGATTTTTCAATGAAGAAATTATGCAGCCCCATAGACCATGACGCAAAGCAGCAAGAGATGATTAGCAGGAAGAGGTAGAAGGGCAGAGGGTCTGCAGGGGTAGAGCAGACTGCCTGGCCCATGTGAGCCAGCATGGAGCTACCCCTTGGTGTAGAGCAGCACTGCACCCCTGAGCAGACTACAAGGACAGGGCACATGGTGCAGAGGAGTGCAGTCTGCTCCCTGGGGTGCATGCGCTCTTTGTGTGCCTTTGGCAATGTCCCATCACCTGCTTCCAGAGCTTTTTGATCTCCAGGCGCTTCTATAAGGACATCCCTTCCACCTTCCTTCTCTTAATTCGTTGCTACCTGTTCTCCTCCCACCCAGGATTGGCCAGGGGCTCAGAGAGAGAACATCCCACAGTGGAGGTCTCAGCTCTGGGTCTGAAAGTCACTGCCATGCCACACACCAGTTAGGCTGAATGGGACCCTGTTATTCTATGACCATAAGAATTGCCACCGCCCATAGCAGTGTCTCATGAGCAATTATGTACCTGAAGAACCCCAAGGAGGGTTTCCCTAACGCGTTCCTGACTACAGGCAGTGAGTGCCACAGAGGTGCACACAGAGGCAGACACTCCCCTGTTGTGCCTGTGGCAGTAGGCCTGGCTGTTGGTACGCTGAGGGAACTTGGCTCTAGGTGGTCAGATGCAGCCTCATGTAACTTAGTGCTGTGACCTCCCTGTTGGGCATTAGCTGTGGTGACAGCAGCTGGGAACACTGATGAGGTTCAGCCATCCTTAGGCCCCACCTCACTCAAACTGAACCTTCATATGGGTGGTAAGAACTAAATATGTGTAATGTAATCAATAGGCACATAAAGCTCTGTTCCTGATAGCAAATTTAGGTGTTCCAGAGATCCGCACTGGAGAAGCAAATTTAGGTGTTCCAGAGATCCGCACTGGAGACCCTTAAGCACCTAAGCACTGGCAGGAGAGCAACACGAGACGCCATTCCTAACACTTGTCTGCTGCCTTCAGATCTCTGTGGGCTTTGCTGAGTGTAACACCTTTCTAAAATGAGAGAGGCGCTGGAGCACATGCTCTGCTGACACCCTCCTTCATCAGAAACAGCTGCACAGGTCCAAGCCCCGTGTCCATGTGCAGACACATTGAAGGACTCCAGAGGCTGGCTTCCCATGACCAGTCCACCCAAGCCACATTGCAAAGCTTGCAGCCGGGATCTGTGTTTTTATTCCAAGGTTTGAATGGACAGTAAGAGTGGAGGCGTGCTCTGTTAGAGCTACGTGCTTGCCTCCACGTGCAGTAGAGAGGGCATCATATCAGTCACATGCATTTGTCCACTGCTCAGTCAGCGCTCTTCCCAGCCCTAAGCAAAGAAGCAAGATTTCTAAACAGGGGAGGAAAACAGACTCCAGCTGGTTCATGAATTTTGCATGTATTAAGATGAAAAGGGGTGTTTTGTTTTCTGTGCCCTCACTTTATAAGTTGGTGGGATCAACATTTCTGACTAAGCCAGTTGTATTTGACACTTTTTCCTGTCTCAAATTCACTTAAGAAATATGCTTAAACTATTTATCTTTGACTCTTTTTTTCTTTTTTCTGTACCTCATTAGAGGAAAGAGCTCCTTTTTATTTCATTTGTTTAACATGGGCAC